TACTGCAATATAGATTGTCAAATAATTTTAAGTAATAAATATATAATATTTATAGAGGAGTGTGTACCTATAAGTGAGCATGGAAAAAGTCCTACCTAAGTCCACTGTTTGTCTTTAAAAAAAACACGGGTTCTCCACAATTCGTAATAATATAATATATACTCTCTTGYCAAGATTATATTGAAATTTTTCTACTTCGATGTGAATATTWTCATATAGRACAGATGAACCTTAACACGATTCTCTACAGCTATAATCAGTTATATATCGTCGCTTTTGCGATAATTATCAGKAGGCAGGCATAACTCATATTTGATGATGAATTAATAGGTATGAACTCAGAATATTACAAAAGATTTAAGTGGTAGCCATAATTATTTGAAACATGTTTATTTATAGCCTATAGACCTCTATATGTATCTGCATTACCTCTTTTACTATATTATATGGTATTGGAATATTATCCAAATCATTAAGTATTACAGAAAATTGAAAATATTCTTAACACCATGTTATTATGTATTAATTAGTAAAGAAAATATGATGTGGGGACACCGAGTTATGAAAGTATTATTGTAGAAAATAGAGACATACCTAGTATATTAACTGAATATAATATAAACCCATTGAGCGATTTACCATTTGTTGAACAAACGTTCGTATACAGATACAAAAACAAGCTATTATTATTGTATAATACAAAAAATATGATTAACTTACAAAATGACAAAATGTAAGACACCAATGAATGAATAAAAAAATAAACAACATTAATTATTTTATACTTACAGTAAAACACCTWAACAGTAAGTTGTTAAATAATTGTTAATAGTTTTCAGCGTTTTTTTTTTTAAATTTAGGAATTATATAAAATGCTTTTACCGAAGAACAAGTAGGTTGTTAACAGAAACAGAGATTTACTAAGCCTAATTTTGGATAATTTACAGAAAAATATGGGGGGGGGGGAATAAATAAATAAATAAATAAATAAAACAGTGTTAATTTGTTTTTTGTGTTTACAAAAATATGTCTTTTAAATTTTATTAATTTTATAAGAAAAGAATTCGTACCGTTTTAGCCTTCAAATTTAAATTTGTCCATAAAATAAAATTTTCAAAGAAATACCAGTAAAAATACATATTGGAATGCAAAACAGGCATACCATAATGATAAMAAAATTGAAAATTACAGTAATATTGATAAAAAGCAAATAAAATAAATGCAAAAGATAAAATAGTACATACTAAATATGCTAAAAATAAAAACCTTGGGATATTCTTTAGCCCAATAGTATATTTTAGCAAGGAATGTATTCGTGCATTATATTTTAATCATGATTTAATCAGGTACTTCGATGAGTTTGATTCCTCTAACCGACACAACTGCTATGAATCTGGGAACTAGGAGCAAATTAATATTAAATATTTTTTCACACAATATGAAAAACACGGCTTAACTACGGAATACATTTCTAAATATTACGACGAATTCACCTATTTGGATTGACAGATTATATACGATTCACAGATWAGTGAATAAATAAAATACCTATTGCGTTGTCAGATGTTAAAAATCCTTACTACTTGAAAAGTACACAAACAGATTTAAATTACTCTACGATGGCGTACGCTACATTCAGGATGATCCAAATTTAAGATACAAATCGTGTAGCACCAATAATTATTACAAATATAGTTATGTCCCTGTTTTGATTTTGGCGACTTCATTGCCGACGGTATAAATACTCTGTGATCCAATAATAATGATAAGATAGGAATCGTATAAGATGGAGTGACTCGTACATTGGTAGTGTAACTAAACATGGTAACAGTGGTTTCTTCTATGCTTACCTCTAGGTTGTAAGCACCCTTGCGTATGAAGAATAAAAGGGAATAAATAAAGACATATTTGTATGATTGCGTCTACATGTGACCAGTGTCACCTGTTTGGAATCCCATATGATGCATATGTTGTTGTTGAGATGATCCTTGTTGCTGCTGATGCTGCTGTTGCTGCTGCTGCTGCTGTTGTTGTTGTTGTTGTTGTTGTTGTGCTAGCAGTGCCGCCATCTTGGTTTCTTTTTTCGTTCGTTGCTTTAAGTGAACTTTTGCGTGTCTCTTTTTTTCATCGCTTCTTGCGAACTTGCGACCACACACGTCACATGTGAACGGTTTCTCGCCAGTGTGTGTTCGAATGTGTGTCGTAAGATGGTCCGATCTGGAGAACGATCGCATGCATATGCGACACTGGAACGGTTTTTGGCCTGTGTGTATACGGATGTGCCTTGTAAGTTCATCCGATCTAGAGAAACGACGGTCACAATGTTCCACGGGACATGCATATGGTCGCTCGTGCACCGGAGTCTTGCTAGGTCTGTTAGGGTACTTTCKTGGTTTCACCGGGACTAGCTTCAATGGTAGTGATGACTGCTGGTACACTTGTGATAGTATTTCGTGCCCTTTACTTGTTGATGGGTTATACTCAGCAAGTTGGACGCTGTAGCCGCCCTGCGACACGCTTGACGAACCTGGGGATTGYACGTCTACGTTTACCACGTTTGTGAACTCTTGTTTGGGAATCATTTGTTGTTGTTGTTGTTGAGATTGTAACTGCTGTTGCTGTTGTTGTTGTTGTTGTTGCTGTCCACCGTATTCGACCGGTGAGTCTAACCAATGGTATTTATTCACTGGCGATGACTGTTGTTGCATCATTTGACCACGGTTGTGGTATATGAGATCTTGGTCGTTTCCAGTCACTCCGCAACTGGCGTACGTGGATGGTACTTGTTTACCACAATCGATACTCATCCCAAGCAATTCTACTTGACTTTGTTGAGATCTGTCTTCGTAGTGAGGACTGGAGCTGTGATATGAGGTGGGCGTGTTTGACGGCTGAGGTTGGAGCAGGTTGAACAAAGGTGGAAATATGTTCTTATCTGGGCTAGGCAAAAGCCAAGAAGTGCTGAGGTGATTGTTGTTATTGTTATTTGAGGAACTAGTTGAGCACGGAGCTGTCTGCATAGGGCTATTAGTTGAGAACCTATAACTGATCCTAGACTGCCCTGATGGTATACCGGAGTTTGTTGTGTACATGACGTCCTGACCGGTTTCATCCTGTTCCGGTTCACCTCCGATGGCTTCTGTTTTCAATTGAAGCGATACCTCTAGCTTGTGTTCTATACCACTTCTGTTGCTACCATTATCATCAGCGTCTTGCAATGATCCTGAAAAAAAAAATAAAAATCATAATATATTATTTATGTTATGAATAATATTTGTTACGCCTTATAACAATTTATGGAGTTTTTACACTTAGCAAAATAATAATATTGGTGTAAAACTAAATAGTTCAAAAACAACTTGTGACACGTGTCGGCTGGTGATTATTTTTTGTATAAAATTTGGATTTTTGCCACCATTCTACATTATACATTTACACATTACACGTTTAATAATAACTACGTTCGAGTTATATATGACTACGGCACGAGATACAAACACTAAAATTTAACTGATTGCTGCAATCCATTACCAGGTTACCTTTATTCATTTCAGCTACACATTTTTGTCAGTTTTAATTGCATTTCTCAATATTATTTTATTCATTTTTTAGCGCTATTCACTATATTCTATAATTTTCCATTGCTAATCACAACGCACGATACTAAAATTGTCAAAAAAAAAAACATTTTTAAATAATATTGTATCTATTATTTTACTATACAATATATTGTCTGTAATAAAATAGGAAACTGTATAGCGCAGTCAGTGCAGAATGAAATGATAATAATTATTGTATACGATATAAAGTATTTTAGTCGGTATCAAAATTTATCAATAATCTGTTTTTTTTTACCTTATCGAATTTTTGATAAATATTCACAGTCAATGAATAATATTTTTAGACATCAGAATTTATAGACACTGTGTAAGCGACTGTTTGTGGTTTTTTTTACGTGCGTCACATATTTTTCGGATTATCTCGACGGCGACGACAACTGGTTTATGCTGATGGTGAATTTGTTGCTTTTTTCTACATACTTTTTACTTTTATTATTCTATCGACTTTTTAACCCATTCTAAACTATGTAACCATTGCAACGCACGTATATTATATGATGTTGAGCACGTATACATAACTGAAGAACTTAATAGAAGCATTCGTTAATCTGTAAAAATCCCGTATAGGTACTTATACCCGGTATAATGTTATATACAGATAGAAATAATAATTAAAAAAATAAAAATAAATTTTCTGAGCCAAATATTTTATTTTTTTTTTACATCCAGGGCTACGCAAACACTTAATTTTTTGAGATATTATTATTTTTAATTTTTTTTCTTAAGTAACGGAAATGAAACTGTCGTGGTTTTATATCAAATATATACACATTAATAACGTGAACAATAAATTACGATTGTATTTGCATGAACATTTATTTTGTATATTATATTAAAATAACGTAGATCGAAAATAGAGAGACCATAAACAATTACAACTTCTGATCAATGTTTATATTAAGTAGTTTTTTTAGTATCACGTTATATTGTTATTTATACATTCTTCTGAGACTAAAAAAAAAAAAATAATAAAAACAACTGACCCAGTGGTTTGTACGAGATCTATTGGGGATCACTATCATGGCACCACATGCTGAGTGTTTAACTTTGGTTTTTTATATAAATATACGAGTTTAAACAACACTGCCACAAACTAGAATACATTATTTTCATGAAAAATATTAACGTGCGCACTGCGTATATATTATTATAGTGTTATAAATCGTCTGGTAAAATCATGGAAGTCGAGAGAAAGCAAAATGCTGAGAAGCTGCGACATTTTTTGTAGTTGGTTTCAATTTTTTTGAAAAAAGTAACAACAACATTAGACGTTTAATGTGATCGCTGCCTTACGGTTAGCGTAGTGAGCTTACCCAATACGTAAAAATTCACATACAGGTACACATTTATTTAGTATTTATTAATTGTGATTGTAATTTGTTGCAAATGTGTGACGAAAATGACATTGCATATTGTATTAATATAGAACTGTTATATATTTCTATAATGTACTGCAGGTGGACAATGCGTAAATATGTGAATATTGCAGTAGTATTGGTCGACTGCCAGATATTAGACGAAGTATGTTAATGTGATCTAGGTATATATATTTTTAATATTAACGTCATTTTCCCCAGTCGTGGCAGTAAGAATACGAATTTGTTTGAAGTAATGCTTCTATATAATTTCCAAATGTTTACTCAAAGATCTAAATAAACAAATTCTAATCGTAAAAAATAAGAATTGTTTAAAAACAAAAGTTTTTAAACATGCCTTAAAGGCGGTTACTTGGCGATAAATGTATACGTTTCACATACTCACGGTAATTAATATTTGTGTTAGAACAAGTAAATTATACATGGAATTAATTTACGCAATCGAAAATTAATAATTCATTGAATATAAGTTTGAGAATGCTATTGGTCATAAACTCGTAACCGAACGTGCAGCGCACGGTAACATATACCTACCTATATAATTATAGCTGCAGTGAGCTGTGGCTGTTATCTATGTACATATATTATAATTCAGATTATCGCACATAAATCGATGGATGTACTTTACACAGATTTATAAGTTTTCTTTAATACAACGCTTATGGTATTAAAACTTATATCATTATGTATATTAGCATCGCCGAAAACATCGTCGTTATTGTGTGATCTAAAAAAAAGACTACCTATAACGATTTGATTCTAGATAGTATATTTAGTATATACTATATATATATATATATATATATAATAGTATTACGATCGACTATGTATAAAATAAAATATGTACTTTTATTTTTTGCTGGGTCGTAATAAAAAGTGAAATCATTCAAATCAACTGTGATATAACGACCTCGTCAGTTTACTGAACAGGGGTCGGTTACTCGCGGGTTGTCCGTGAACGTGGTGGGTGAACGTGGAGGAGGGTGAGAGGTTAAGTCCGGGTAGGTTAGAAGAATATTGATTTCAACTTCATCACATAACAACCTTCCAGGAAAAGCAATATATAAGTACAGAAATTATAATAGAGTAAAATAATCTTCTATAAAATGTCCACTCACATATTGGTATAGGTACTATTACATTATAATAAATGTATTGAATAAGACACCATCCATGGCAGCAATATACCTAGTTAACGTCACAGACGTCGATTATATCGCAACTCGTCGTCGTATTTTCCCTAAGTATATAGTAATGTATAATTTATATCTTATATGTGTATATATTTAAGTCCACCAGCCACCATTTATCGATTTATCCATTCCGACTCCTCCTTCCTTTTACCTGCCCGTCAACTCACAACGCAACTCATTCAACGATTCATCCCATTCATGTGGAGAGGGTCAACCACTACCGATACAATATTCCATCATGAAATATTTAAGCCTCTTTCACACGGGCTAGTCGGTATTGATCGACCAGCAGTGAAGGTTCGTACGCAATGCCACGGCCACCACCCTCTAGATCGCGCTCGAAACGCACGTCATATATCACGGAATTCCCGGTAAGTCCATTCAACTCGGCACAACTTCTGCCCCCCCCCACAACCCCTAATAGCCCGCTACACCACCACAGAAAATTGAATCTCACGCAAGCGTTCCGCGGAGCGTCAGAACACCGGACGCCTACAGCAATGACATCTTACCCATGCAATGGTTTTATTTTCATTATTTATCATCGATAGATTTTGTTTCCAACACTTAACGAGCACATACTTATCTATAGGTAGACAGGTTAAATTAAAATACGTGCCTGTAAGTACAAGCCACGTGAGAGGAATGGTGGAAATATGTAGCCACGCCGAATCGAAGTTTACACATGAATAATATTGAATCTATGTACATTGGTGCTGTGGGATGGAAACGATAGGGATATATATTTCATTCACCTTCTAGCGTTCCGAGGTCACCGAAAAATCGATGAACGAATACTAGCCGTGGGAGGGTCACTGACACGGGGTTGTTCGGGGGGTAAGGGAAATTGTTTTCACATAATATTTCATTCATGTATACGATATGAAACAGGCAAACTATACAACACTGCTAGTGCCTTATAAATTAATTATAATTTATAACCACTTGATAATTATACTCCATGTTATGTTATAACATTATAGAATTCATATTATAATATAAATTGGATGAAAATTTATAATGGGAAATTGCTTGTAAAAAAATAATTATTAATTATTTACATTTCGTGAGTAGGCCCTTTTATTTTTTTTTTTTACCTATAGACTCAGCTAATTTTATAATGGAAATATTATGTACTTACTTCTTCTATTTTTGATTTAAAATAAGACTTTTATCTATAAGTGTACACCATACTATATAGGTTACTATATAGATACACCTGTATTATACCTATACTTAAAGTTTTATTTAAAATTTGAAAAATATTTTTACATTAGGTACGTCATTCATTACCAAATATTCATTTTTGAGATTTATTGCGAAATGTATAACAATAAAACAATAAATTATTTTATCGTTAAATCTACCTGCAATTAATTGCCTGCATAATATATTAATATATTTACAAATTATATTGTATATTATGGTTTTATTTTGTTGAAAAATATTTACATTTTAAAGTAATAATTTTAAAATTCAAGTAAATGTGTAATGGGCAAAAAATAATTAATATAAAAAGTATTAATACCGGAAAAAACGTTGAATAAAAAACTAAGTTCTAGTTGAATATTAATAATTTTACACATCCAAATCATAATAAAATATAAAAAAACTCTAGGCTCTATCTACCATATATAGTTAAGTAGGTACCTATATATAATATTTTTTTATAATCTATATTTAAGTTAGTATTGCAGGTAAGGATTGGTACCTGTTATGAGTGGCGGTTCTACGACTGTGGATGGGCCGAAAAACGAAGGTACTTCAGCGCTCGTCGTGACGGGTGTGTTGAGATCGGTGCCGGCATTTCCCTGTGCCGGGCTGTGGCATGCCGAGTTGCCGGTGCCGTGTCCGCCGTTGCCCACGTGCCCACCCGTACCGGTGGCCACACCGCCCTTGTACGTTTCGAAGCTGAGCACGTTAAAGTGGCCAGCGGCTGTGGTGGCCGTGGTGACGGCAGCCGCAGACTCACCCAACAAGTACGGGTGGTGATGATGATGATGGTGATGGTGGTGATGCGCATGGTGGAGCGGCCCGACGCCTGGCTCAAGGGCACTGCACTCCATGATCATATCGGCTTCGGGCTGTTGTTGGTGCTGCTGGTGCTGATGCTGCTCTGGGACACCTACGGCACAAGCGTCACGCCGATCGCAATTATTATTAACACTGCCGGTACTGTTGTTGTTGTTGTTGTTGTTGGTGGTGGTGGTGGAGGAGGTAGTGTTTTGGTTGTCGTTCGTGGTACGATCGGCAACGGGTGCACGGTCTTTCGGATCAATTATTGGGCACGGTGGTGGCGACTCTGGCGATTCGACCAGCTCGATGTCGTGGAACGGGTACCAATCGTCCGGTGGCGGCGACCACGAGCTGGGGGCCAGGGGCACGCGGATCACGCACCTGGACAGTGCCAGGCCTGAGCTGGGGGGTTGGCGCGTTCGGTGACAAAAACGACGACGAGCGAATAAAGTTTTTTTTAGTAATCGTCAGCCCAGACGATAATCGATGGTGCGTATCAATGCGGTTTAGTACACGTATTGTGCTATTATTATAAAATATTTATAATAGATTCAAGCTGTTAGAAGAAAAATAMCGTTCGGGTTTTGAAAAACCAAAATTGTTTTTTTTTTTTTCCGAAACACGCGATGTGATATCAATAGGTATAATACCTATAAAATATATTATAGGTAGGCGTTGACGATATAATAATATTATAATTTATAACATTAGACGGGGGCGCGGGCACTCGACGACGACGTTAAATAGGACGCGCGTTTCTTCGTTACTGCGATACTACTGCGGCAACGCACATGACTGGGTCCGCTGCACTTGCACACACATACAAACGATAACGTAAAACGCACACGCACACGGTCACGCACACGCACGTGATGCTGGCGCCGGTCGACTTGTTGAACTGAAGGCGCGCGCGGCGCGTGTGTCGAGATACGCGACGGCCGTACACACTGAGAAAGAGCGCACTGCCCACACCTCGGCGCGGGGCGACGTATAAGCATCGGTTTTATGAATGAAGCCCGTCTCTGTCCCATATATGGCAACGAGCGCCGGCGGTGGCGGTGCGGAAGAGGCCGGGCGGACGGCGGCATCCCGGACCAATGGCAGCGCGCCCGTAACGGTGACGTCGGCGTGACGTCACTCGCCGCAAACGACCTGCCGTACACGCACGAACCGCCGATACCGCCGCCACTATCGCCGGAGGTGGCGGTGGTCGCGGTGGTGAAGGTGGTGGTGGCGTTCCGGCGATGGTGTCTCGCCGATGGTGGTGGTGAAGGCGAGGATTTCGCGATACCTCCCCACCACCACTACAGTTGTCGCGCCCCATCCGACTCCCCTCCCCCCCTTACAGAGTCGTGTCGCTGAGCGAAACCCTCCGACGACGTGGCGTCATCGTCGTCGTCCCTACCGCGGCTATACATAACATTATAACGTCGTTTTGGATTTCACTCGTTATAATAAAATAATAATAATATATTACATCTTATTTATTAGGTATAATATTATAGTGTGTTGTTTTATTTCTCTAGCCACCGTCTCGATCGTGCGCGCAGATTCAAAAATCGTTATTATTTCTCATCGTGACGCCTTATATATTATTATAATATATTATGATAATGTCACACGATGTACCTATTATAATAATAATATTAATATATCACCATATTCACCGCACGATATTATGTCGACTGCAGGGTGTATCTTCTTACGGACGCTGTTTTATTATTATTATACACATCTAATCTCTGGTTTACATTTTTATTTTTTGTTGTTGTGATTTATTTTTTACATATTATATTCACGTGATGTATAATATAATATATTATATAATTCAGACCAACTCTGCGATGTAAATTGGTGCTACTTTTTCTTTTTCGAAATCGAACCCTTAACGAATGACTAGTAAATATACATTATATGTATATATAGATATAGATATAGCCATATAGATATATCTTTACCCTTAAAATAGTATGCAATATTAAACCTACAACGCGTCTACCTATAATAATATAATGTTGATGATAAAGTTTAAGCACTAATCAGCCCTAAACCGATTTTTCTTATACATAAACAGCAATATTTTCGTATAGGTATCGTTTTATGTTAATAATTTAAGCCTCGCCTAGCTACTTGTCTGAGATTCTGTGGGAATATATAGGTAATACAAATAAAAATTATACCTAAGTGATGCTGAAGCACTTATACATCAGCTGTATCTAATATTGGTTAAAACGAATAGAAATTATTATAAATGCCGTCTATATGACGATGCTAAAAATGTTCTATTGATACTATATTTTATTATTGTATAAAATAATAGTTATGAAAATGGAAAATATTAAAAATATACTCGGCCGTATAGCAGGTGTACGCCTACGCAATAATTACGTTATGGCCAAACACCAATGAATTATTTTTATTTTTAACCATCACAGTATATTTTTAGCAAAGGCAATGATCTGTAAAACAAAAATATGAAAAACCTTTGTTTAGCAATTATGATTAATATAATATTGATTCAAACAACCCTCGAAAACATAGTTCTATCTCTCTAAACGTATTTGATTATAAATAATATAATATTTATTGAATTTTTATTTTTGACTTTGTACTAACACATATTCCAGCGTTCCATCAATGACGTAGATACATGATAACTCATCGTAGGTTACTTATATTGTCAAAAATAAATGATGTTAGTTTCCGGTGCCATTTCAAAGAAATCTCATCATTACACGGCACAATTAAAATCAAGTACCTATGTGATGTCTTGAAAAATTAAATAAAAATATTTTTAATAATATACCATCATATAGGATCTAAAAAAGTTATTATATTAGTATTAAATTACGAAATACATAGAGAGGGGGGGGGTCAAAAGTAAAATATTTTCAATATTTTTCTAAATAATCGGGATAAACAAACTAAAAATTAAGGAAAAAACGGGAAATTTTACGCACAATCAGTTTTTGACAAAATTGATTTTGGTTTTTGATGTAACTTAAAAACAAATGACTATAGATACATTAAATTTTCGCCGAATGTTTATATAAGTATATTTTATCTACCACGCAATTTTCAAAAAATTTCGACATAAGTAAAACTATTTATAAGCATAATATGCAATTTTCGATCATTATTAGTTTTTTTTAAATTAATATCGATAAAAATGTATTTGTTGGGTGGAAAAGCTTGAGAATTTAATACAAGGCTCCTAACATAATATTGTTACAATAGCAGTTGAAAAAAAAAAAAAATTCATAGTCACAATTTTATTTACAAGCATTCAAAGTTTGAATTTTGTCAACATACGTAAAAACAACGAAAATTCACAAATTATTTTAAACTAGAAATTCATTAAAATTTTTCTTTTTAAATCTAAGATTTGAAAATTTTTAATAATCTATAATATATCCTAGACGGATAAACCGTCTCCGCTCAGAATCGTTTTTCGTATACAATGATATAAATTGGATTCAAATTTAATTCTATCCATTACAGTAACCCATTTGTAACCTACTGTACAGCAGAGCGGTATCCGCTTTCCCGCTTTTTTAAAATCGAATTTCGGTAAAATATGAAGCATAGTAGTAATTCTCTGTGGAATAAAAAAATTGAATATTAGCCCAGTATATATATTATAGTGTGCTTGTCACACACTCACATGTATAACTATAATATACATAATATTATATAATATGATATAAACGTTACTATTATAAAAAAAAAGTAATAATAATAACGATAAAAAAAGAAAGTCACTCAACTGTAGGGTAGGTACACCTTAACCTTAATGTATCGGTTATACCTCATCATACCGTCGAGTGTACAGTTGATTGTGTTATATGGATGTGTTAAATTAATAGGTAGTCAATTATAAAACGTTTCTGATTCTCAGTATTTAGAAATAAATAGATTTCTAAGAATATTTAACTATATATTTTTAAGTAATACTGAAGGAGGTTGAACTAATTTGTGACAAAATAAATTGCATGTTATTATACTATTTTATTTTTTATTTTTGTAGAAAGTKTACATAGAAGTATGAAATATGTATACATATAAATTATACACCATATAGTATATATATATGTGTGTGCTAATACTCGTACTACATGAATTAATCAAAATAGTGATTTATTAAATTGCAGCTGGATAGTATATAACTTTATGTGTATAGAATAATATGGCTTCTTGTTTTTGGAAAATTTGATGCAATTAGAATTKAACTTCGAAAAAATCAGCGAGATATTATATTATTAATATACATTTTAAAAATCTGAAAGATTTTGTCGTAATGTTATTGTCATGTTATTAGATTTTCCTACCAGAAATCTAGAATGTTAAATATTTTATGTTCTGCAGTCTTTGGGCTTGTTTCAAATGTTCTATCGATTTATTCAAGTACTGGAGTATTTACATCGAAAAACTATCTAATAAAAGTGATTATCGGTGGGGGTTAATACAATTAGATATATTTGACGGATTTGCAGGTATCTATAATACTATATATTATAAATTTAATTTTAAAATCTGTATTATTGTATTTTGTATATACAGGATGTCTCACGATGAACTGACGTATGGAATAACTTTTGTTGTAAATTTGTAATCAACATTTAAATTTTTTCCACATAATTCATAGACACTTGCACATTTTTAGAATATTTTTTTAATTTTTCAATACTGAAAATACAAACTTAAAAAATTGATACAATTTTTTGTTGATAAATTCAAAATAGCCAATTTGTGAATCTGATTACCTATAAGAACAATTTTGATGGTTAAAAGATTTATCTAAGTCAAGTAGTTCATTTTTTAGAATTTTTTAAAACTCAATATTTTTTCGGTTAAATTAATTTGAAACGTAATAATTTTTTTTTTAAATATGATTTTTGAGAATTTGCTGATATGAGTATATTTCTTAAATTATTTACTTATCAGTTATCATATAATACTAACAATTTTTGTCATACGTTTATTTAGCATAATTTTTTTTTTGTCGGATTTTTCTGAGATACCCTTTTATAAGCTTGGAACGTATAAATTGTTCTTAAACAATTTCCTATACTTAAACCATGCATATCAAAATAATAATTGATTTATTTGTACAATATTGGCGTACCTATAGGTATAGCACAGCAATGAGTTTAGTATTGAAATATGACGCAAATTAGTTTTCATCAATGCGGCATAATTGGTGTTGTGTGTATAAGTATCATTATTTGTTATATTATAACATAATATAGCATCTGTGACGTCATGTGAGTGCTTTAAAACAAGTAGACATTGTTTTGAGAACTATTGCACATTTGATCTAATAACTAACGCTTGCTTAATTTATTCGAAAGTAAATATAATTAATTCTCAAGATAATTCATTAAAATGTCTAAATTATTACTT